AACAACATCTCGATACAATTGGTCATCAACCAACACATCCAACGCAGTCAATGCTAAACATGTAGCAGCACGCAACGTTCTATGATGTGCCTCTACTTTTTCAGCTTCTATCGCAAATTCGGGTGTATGCATAATGTGCGTCGTGCCGATGTTGTATCTTGTTAAATCAAAAGATTTTTAGATATTAACGAGTAATTATAAAATAAAAGATTGCTTACAAAGCGTGAATACTTGGAACTTCATAGCCCACATTACCCTATACATAAAAATACATAATTATCGAAAACTTGTACTTCGGGAATTATTATTATAATAGAGGTCGAAAAATGCCTGATCTGTCGACCCTCCTGGAGGAAAAGTACCAGTCGGAGGATAAACTACGCTACGATCTGCATAAAATATTTTGCTAGCATTTTACTTACGATAACCTCTAATGAAAGAAATGAAAGAAGAAATTGGAAACTATATAATCAACAATAAAAATATGATACAAAATGTCTATCACAGCATCCTTTATCCCACTCAGTTTTATATGTGCATCCAGTAGCGTCCGCAGCAGATTTGAGACAATTTTCAACACTTTTTAATTCTTGCAAGATTGAAACACTCTCGGAGCGGATTTGGACTTGAAGTGATGTGTAATCGGGGATCACTTTTTTGCCAAGTATTATCCGTTTTATCAGTTACTGATCAGGTTCAATACTTAAAAAAGTAATTGCATTACCATTGACTACTTTCCCTCCATTAGTAATAAACATGCTAATTCTGTATTGAACGCAAAAAATTTAACATATGTAGAAAGTCAAAATAAACAAAGTTATTTATAACGATTTTACCTATTGTTGATTTGCGATTGTTGTCTTAACAATGAAATTCCATTATAAGCCAAAACTACAACGTCAAGTGCATTCCTACCTAAATTTATTTTTTTTTACTTTCTATTTTTTTAGCATTTACTAAAGCTCAGATCAGATAACAAATTCAAGCTGTCACCAACCATTCCAAGGGGACGTTGAAATTTTCTCGAGAATTAATATATTACAAGTTAAACGCGAGAATTAAATCAAATAATTATACGTACCGCTTTCCCAAAATACTCGATTTTCGCGCTTGTTACAGCTAGATAAACTAGATCCAATAAATCTCTCCACCTTTTTGCATGATAAATCGGGAAAAATTTACATAAAATTTCGCATTAAAAAATAGTTATAAATTTCGTTTCTAAATAATAAAATTAAATTACGTTGGGTGAACCATCAAAGACACATCGACTTCTTTATACGCTCCAGCTTCGATCAATTCTACTTTACCGCTTACAATTTCTATATATATTTGTAAGAATATAATTAAAATAATGCAATAAAGAACTCCAAATGTCTAAATTTATTTGTCGTTATCGTTATTGATATGCATGAAAAATTAAACGATAGAGGAGTTATCTTTACCGAGTACATTCTTTTAATTTGAGAATAATAAGTTCACGTGGAAAACGATACGAGCGATTTCATTGGCCAAGCAAATTTATTGTACAATCAAATTTTTTTAATAATAATAATATTATTATTATGGAATAACGCTAACTAAAAACCCAACTACAATTACATGTGTAATACCCTCATTATAAAGTTAGCTTACAATGCGATTTTTTATAACTATTCAATGGCCAGTATTACAACTTTTTTAATTATCTTGTTTGCCCTTATCATTAGTATCGCCCGAAACACTAGTGGCGACGGTATTAATCGCCAATTCGTTTGCAGAAACTATGTTGAAGGGATTTTTATTGGCAGCATTGATATTAGAGTATAGGGAAAATGTATTTGTCGCCGCTGGTGACAGTCACCGGTCACGTGTAGAGTTACGGTTAGGGTTAGGATCGGGATATAGATTAAAGAATAAATAACAAAATTTCGCAATGAACACTTTTATAAGAAATAAGCGACAGTTTCATAGGCAAAAATTCGAGATACAGAAAAAAAGAGCGTTTGATTTCTTTTGAAAGTTTGGCGTTACCGTTACACTTTGATCTTGCGATTTGATTGGTTAATAAAAACTCCGGTGATTGTGGCGACAAATAGACTCGCCCTAGAATACGTATATATATATATATAGCGATATCAATTCATGAAATTAAAAGTTGTGAGTATGTTTAAATTATATAACATTTACATTTTGTTCTATTCATACAAATTTAATAAATAATGATAATATGCACTAATAATAATTTTTATTGCCTAATCTAAACAAATGCTTTTCTTTGTCATATTAGCTAATTTAACAAAAGACTGCCTAAAGAAATACATAACTAAACGCATACAAAAAAGCATACTCTATATGATTCATATTTGTTGGTGTCAATATCTAAATATTTTGGCAAACTAAATATCTAATATTACATGTACCTTTTGTTTGGGTTAAGCTTGCCACTCATAATTTTTTCGCAAAGTTGTAAAGTTGTAACCTATATTTGTACATGTAATTTGTTATAATAATTAGGTTTTTGATAAAACTACTGCATGTAGATCAAATTATGTCATACCGATACCAAACCAATTTGTTTGTGTAACATGTATCAATATCTTTCATTTTCTACATAAGAAAACTTTAGCCCAAATATTTCTGTATCGTCCTCTGCAAAACATCCTGTTGTTTGTGAACCTCCGTTAACCTGAGGAAATATTTCTTTATCAGTATCTTCTGATGAAAGTTGTAGTTTTGAATAGTTTCAAGTACTTTATTTATTTTGCGAATATTTACTTGTTGTCATTTTAACAAAGTTTATTTAAATACTTACGCTTTCCAAGTGTCATCCAAACGAAGGTAAATTTATAAATTTTTTTGTTGAAGCAAAACT